GAAATGATTACAACAAAGTCTATTTTAATATAAACCAGTAAGTAAAGACAAACGTTGGACAGGGCCGACTATATGATACTCTTCACCACTTTGGGTACATACAAGAGATGTTCCGTTGCATACATTTTTTTTGTTTTTGTTATCCCTCAATATTCAATTTAATACCCTCTGCCAAATTTCGTGTAAATCGAACAAACATTGGCCCTTCGGTGCACCATTTACATAAAATCAAACGAAAATATATATCAATATACATCAAAATCTGAACCGATTTCAATAAACCTTATCACACATAATTTTGTCCATTTGGGAGTTTGGTGTATTATTCACCAAAAATCGCCAAATTTCGTGCAAATCGAGAGATATATAGGGACTTTGGTACACCATTTACCTTAAATCGGACGAAAATATATATGGGAGCTATATATAAATATGAACCGATTTTCAGGAAACTTAACACATATCTAAATCTCAACCGATTTTGAGGAAACTTAACACACATCATTCTAGATCTAATTTATTACGCTATGCCAAATTTCGTGCAAATCAAAAGATATATAGGGACTTTGGTGCACAATTTACCTTAAATCGGACGAAAATATATATGAGAGCTATATCTAAATCTGAACCTTGTGTTCCTGAGATATTTGTGTTAAGAACAATCCTACGCGTTAAATATTATTCGAAATCTCTCGGAAAGAAAAGATAAGTTGGGTGGTCAATTGGATTTTGTTTGCTATAGACCTTCAGCTGTGGACTGATTCCAACCCGGGCTACGTAACACAATCTCAATGTAATTAGTTAGTATTCATAAGAAAACCAGTGTGGAAAACACGGACGGGCCGACTATATAGACATATGTTAATGTTCTGCACAAATTCGTCGCCATCGGACAAACTTTGGATTTTTGGTGCATCATTTAGATGAACGGATTTCAACTCAAGGCTATGTATTATTTCGTGAAAATCGAACAACAACATAGACTCTTTGGTGAACCATGTAGTATTTTCCCACAAATTTCTTTATTTTTACAAATTATACACATTCGCATTTTTAATAATTATGAATGAGTATTTGAAAGCTAAAAACAATATTTTAAACTGAAATGAAAATGTAACGTCGAAAAATGTGTTTGACAATTTACTTTTCAGACAAAAAGAAAAAAAGTTTGAAACCATATGATTGTCACTTACACCTTATTAAATACACCTTGATAATTAGAAGAAAACAAATGTATTTTAATATTGCCCAAAAAATTAGAAACAAGAAAAATCTTTTCAATGAACAACGCTAAAAATACACTTATTTGATATGTGTAATATTAATATATTTATTAAAATCAAGCTTTTGCGAATCTATCATAAACTTTGGTTTCTTTGGATATTTCATTTTTTGTGCGTAAGCCAACAATAAAAGCGATGCCTGATTGTTTTTTACGTGGCAGCGACATGTTGAAATAGTATGCAATGTAAATATTTGGTACTGTTGCATTATGAAAAAGGATGTATTGTTCGAATGCAAAGCAATTCATATTTTGGAAGTCAGTCTATATGTATAAAGACTCAGCAAAATGTTCCTTTAAATTCTCATAAACAAAAAAATATCAAAAAATTTTGAGCGTGAGATTTTTTACAGAATCACCCAGTCATTAAGATTTTACCTAATCTTATGTAAAATCTCATCAAGATATACTAGGATACGAGGTTGAAAAACGTCATAAGCCTTGTGTATTCCTACATCTCGTTTTGTATGAATTTTATTTCACGAAGGCCGTGAAATTTGCAAAGTCACAAATCGAGAGAAAACATACAAAAACTTGTTTGCCTCTGCCAGTTTTACCCAATCTTTGGTGGTAAAGTAGAGATATCCTAAAATAATTCCAGAGTTAGGGGTGCATCTCAGCTTCAGTTGCATTAAAAAACTGGCAATATTGCACATAAATTAAATATGAGTGATAAATGGTCGAAAATATAAGCTAATAACTAATTGTATTGTACGAATGTTAATGGTTATTTGAAAATATTAACACGTTCATGACAACATTTAGAAAGTTACGCTACTTTTGTGTTTACATACACAGCGGTATGTCAGGCATGTGTGTAAACAAAGACGGCTGTGTGTGCACTTTCTCTTAACAAAAACTTTAATGAAGATTTGTCTATTAAAGGTTTGCAAAAATAATTTAATTCATAAGCGCTTTGTATTTGGAAAACGTTCGTTGTATGCAGTAGTCAGTGTAAAAAGTCGACTATTTTGCTCATTCGTTATACCCGAACTCGTTAAAGAGAGTATTCGTTATACAGAACGTTGACTGTATGAACTATTAAACACATGGATGCAGCTCTTTTATAATACTAGCATACGCCCGATACTTCGTTAGGGGATCTTTCCAAAACCACATTACACAATATAAGTTAATATGGACTTATGAATTTTTACGTATGTTCTATAAATGTTTAAGAACATTTCAGATTTTAGTCAGCTTTTTTTCACATAGGCTTTTCTTTTGGTACCTTTTCACATTTTTCATTTTGCATCCCTGATTTCTTGTTTCTTTTGGTAGTTTAAAACTAATGGTAAAATATGTAGTACCTTTTAGTACTTGTCATGATACAACAAATAAGGTAACCTCATGCTCACATATGACCAATTTTTCTTTATATACCCTTCACCACACTGTGGTACAGGGTATTATGTCTTTGTGCATATGTTTGTAACAGGCAAAAGGAAACGAGATAGAAACAGTGTTCCTTTTGAGAATATGCATAGAATCACTTTCTAAGTCGATTTATGCATGTCCGTCCGTCCGTCTGTCTGTCCATGTTAAATTGTAAACAAAGTACAGGTCGCATTTATGATACGAATTGGATGAAATTTGGCATAGGTCACTTATTCGTCCCAAGGACGAACCCAATTGAAATTGGGAAAAATCAGTTCAGATTTAGATATAGCTCCCATATATATATTTAACAGATTTTATGTAAACGGTCCCTATATAACTTTCGATTTACACGAAATTTGGTACAGCCTAATCATTTAGGTCTAGGATGATGTCTGCCAAGTTTCGAGAAAATCGGTCCAGATTTAGATATAGCTCCCATATATAGTTTCGTCCGATTTCATGTAAATGGTGCCCCAAAGTCCCTATATATCTTTTGATTTGCACGAAATTTGGCATAACGTACTGAATTGAGCCTAGAATGATGTCTGCCAAGTTTCGAGAAAATCGGTCCAGATTTAGATATAGCTCCCATATATAGTTCCGTGCCCCAAAGTCCCTATATATCTTTCGATTTGCACGAAATTTGGCATAACGTACTGAATTGAGCCTAGAATGATGTCTGCTCAGTTTCGAGAAAATCGGTCCAGATTTAGATATAGCTCCCATATATAGTTTCATCCGATTTAATGTAAATGGTGCACCAATGTCCCTACATATCCTTCGATTTGCACGACATTTGGCATAACGTACTTAATTGGGCCTAGAATGATGTCTGATAAGTTTCATGAAAACCGGTCCTGATTTAGATATAGATCCCATATATAGTTTCGTCCGATTTCATGTAAATGGTGCACCAAACTCCCTATATATCTTTCGATTAGCATGAAATTTGGTACAACCAAATCATTTACGTCTAGAATGATGTCTGCCAAGTTTCATGAAAATTGGTCCTGATTTAGATATAGCTCCCATATATAGTTTCGTCCGATTTCATGTAAATGGTGCACCAAAGTCCCTACATATCCTTCGATTTGCACGACATTTGGCATAACGTACTTAATTGGGCCTAGAATGATGTCTGATAAGTTTCATGAAAACCGGTCCTGATTTAGATATAGATCCCACATATAGTTTCGTCCGATTTTTTGTAAATGGTGCACCAAAGTCGCTATATATCTTTCGATTTGCACGAAATTTGGCTTAACCTAACCTGTGACAAGTTTGTTTGAAATCGCTTAAAATTTTGAATAGAGCTTCCATAGAGCTTCCGCCCGATTACAAGTAAATTGGGCATCATACTACTCATGTTAGTCAGATTGACATCAAATTTTGCACAACGTACAAAATTGAACATAGAATTACGTAGTTGCGTTTTCTAGAAGTACCGACATAACCCGACGGATGGCTTATTTATATTTGTTTGAAGTCGATTTACATACTTTATGGATGGATCTAGGTAGATTCATATTTAGATAAATATCACATATTTTATTTCATCCAATTTTATGTTAATAGTCCTGTTTAATATACCCATAGTGGTGATGGGTATCATATAGTGGTGATGGGTATCATATAGTATGGAAAATCCATACACACAGTTAAAAACATTTGGTTTGGTAAATTGTAATCAAATGTTTTATTTTATGGAAAAACGTAATTTCAATTTTCTGAAATGAAAGTTAATGGACGTTAAAAATACATTCCAAAATCTACTTTTTATTGTGAAATGACATGCAAATTGTTGATTTGTGTTTATGGGCCTGGAACCCGAAAGTAAGTTCCTGCATTATTATTAATTCCAGTGAATATCTATTTCTAGAAATGATCTGAAGGAATTAAGTCCATAATGTGGTTGCACAGATAATGAAGATAAGTAATGAAGTTTTTTTGCAAGAAATCAAGTTCAAAGAATGTCGATTCACTCCTTCTGGTATAGCATACAAGTCAGATTTAGTTTAATATATATATATATATGTCATAGGCTTAGAACTTCTGACAATTTCTACTTCTTTTATATTATTTGTAATACATTTTTTTGTTTTTTTTTTTTTTTTTTTGATTCAGCGTGGTTGTAAAACGTGTAAGTTTAAATTTCAAATAAATATTTGGTGGTGTTATCATCCACATATTGTTTACTTGCTGGATCATCCATGGAACGACTGTAGGGGCGGGTGTGTTGATGCCCTTCTGAAATTCTTCAAAGCATTACGTGCGATGCGTTTGCCTTGCAACAATTGTGTGGCTTCAAATACCAATTGATCGGAAATGATTACCTCACCACAAGCCTTCAAGATTTGTTCGAGAACAGTTTGGGTCACTAAAATGTACAATCCTTTTGGCCGGTTTAATAGACATACTCGGTCAAGGTTCCGACAATGACACCAGTTGATTCCGGCTGATGGGCTGTCTTGAAATGAGCAACGCGTTGCAAGGATGGTCTGTTGTTACTGTTCACAAACAAGAGCATTAACACAATACGATTGAATATTTTCCTGGTGTAACGTTGGAGTAAGCGGTAACGCTTCACCAATATCCTCTGATTTAGATTCATTTCTGCGAGCTTTGCGATCCTTTTTTGTAGTTCATATCAATACCCATATTCCGAGGTTCAAAACGATGGACCTTTTTATTTGATTTTCTCCTTATCTCATCGCCTTCTTGTTTTGTCCGGGAAAATATTTTCTGAGTTTTATTGCACTCGTTCATTCTTTTTCGAATTAAATAAATTAAGAACAAAACGTAAACAAACATTTTTGTATTATTGACAATCAATAATAACAACAACATTCACGTTGAGTAGACGCATGGTTGTATTTATTGAACAGGCTCAGGTACAAAAATGAAAATGAAATAAGACTACCTTTATTATTTTGCCATGGTACTTGTGTACCCTTATAGTATAAATTTGTAAAGTAATATTTTGCACATTAATTTTTTTTTTATAATTACAACGACAAGTTCTGCCTTCATATAGGGAAGATTTCCATTAAAAGTTGCGAAAATTTAAATGTACACGAATTCCAAATTCTACCAATGATCGATCATTTCCCATGTACAATATTTAGTAGTTTTCATGCCCATTTTATAAACAATTTTATCAATACACTATTTTGTTTGCGTACAGATGATACCCACTCTAAGTATAAATATTTAGCATATTTATATTCCTTACCATTCGGTGTGGTGAAATGTTTAGTACTAATTTTCAAAAATATGTATGCATATCATTCTATTTGAAAAAGTTAAGGTTCATACTATGTTTAAGATTTCAATCTATGCCCTTTCCATTATAATTTAATATTTAGTACCATTTCAATACTAACTTTAATAATATATTAATGCATTGCAAAGACTTTGTAATAGTGAAATCGACCACGTTTCCAATTTCTATTCCTACAGATCCTATTGTAATTTTTATTAAGCATAATATTTATAACTTTTTAGTACATTTTTGTACTCATTTTCAAAAAATATTTTTGCCCATCATTCTATTTACGTGATATGTGATACTAAGTCATATTTCCTCTTCATGTAGTTTAAAACTTCAGTCAATTAATCTTCATGTTCCCTTTCAAATACGTATTTTCTAGAGTGTATGAAAATATCAGTAGTTTTTTTTCTACAGATATAGACACTGAACATATAGGCAAGAATAATTGTATTTGGAACTCTGACTGTGGGCCCGCATTCATTGATTAAGATTATCTGGTTATAGGAGTTTATAATTATAGGATTATTCGTTCAGTGTATATCTCATGAATGTGCTTTGCAATTGGATTCCAAATACGAAAATGTGGTGCGTAAATTTTTATAAAAAAAACCTTTTTTTGAGTCTAAATTTAAGAAAGTCCATTCAAATACCGTGGAATTTTAGTTTTTTAGTTTTAGTTTTTCTACGTGCCGAATCAAATAATATAAGTACTTTGAATGTAGGAAAAACTGCCAAAACGTATTTTGACAGATTCACGTATATAATCGCATTTTTCTTCGAATTGTTTTTACGTACATTCAAGTTTTGTATTATCAAATTTCTCGAATCTGTGTGAAAATAGGTCAAAATGCATCGATACGCGAATAACGCTATGGCACAAATCGACAAATCGCATCTTTTATAGACCCCTAGTACATCTTGAGCGCCTTAAAAGCTGAGTAAAACTGTATTTTTAGAATTTTCAATACACCCTAAAAAATCTGAAGTTATGGCCAAAAAACGTTTTTTTGGGTTTTTGTAAACAATTTGCAAGCTAAAAAAAAAACGATTTGCATATTTTTTTCATTTTACTAGGAAGAAGAAAGATAGGCCTATCCAACAGTATTTTTATTATATTTTTTTAGTAAAAACAGGCAGATGAACGAAATTCAAATTTTTCACCTTTTTTTAAATCCTCCAACTTTGTAGGCAATTTTTGCGCCATTGTTTGTTCAAGGACCTATTCTTGTAACACATTCAAATAACAGCAAATTTAATTTCGCGTCGAATGAATTCTTATTGATTCCAATTAGTTAAAACTGTCCAAGCGGGCGCCATTGTAAGATTTTTGCTGATAGGAAAAATTTTGAATACTCAACTTTTTTTCTTCTTGTGAAAAATTCATTTTTTTCATATGCCGCAAATTCTTAAAATAATCCCAACTTTGGTATTGTTCATCCAATTTTATCTAGTAAAATCTCAATCGGCGTAAAAATTAATTTACTAGCATCTTGAAATTTTGGTAAAAATATTCACTTATCTATAATATCGCATACTCCTTCTTTTCATTCATGTCTACTTAATGGCGCTGATCGCTTTAAAATTTTCCATGAGAATCCAGGTATGGTCAAGGACAACGCCTATAATTGCCCAATATACGATAACAAAAGCCTGATTGTGGTCCTATCGAGTGATTTTTTAGCGGAGATATTGCAGTTTGTTTACAAAAACAAAACCAGTAAGGAAAGTAGTAAAGTCGGACAGGGCCGACTATATGATACCCTTCACCACTTTGGGAATATTCTACATATGTATCCTAAAAGACGTTGCCTTTTTGAAGGAACATTGACATACAATTGAACGAAGTTAAATATGTGATCTTAATCTATATCTAAACCGACTAACATTAATCCCTACACATGTCATTGTGCAACCTACGTACTGTTTAAAATTTAATCTCAATCAGACACCCATTGGTTATTTAGTGTACAATTAACATGAATAATACCATAGACAGACCACAGCCTTAATTTGCATTAAAAAGTTCCTAATTTGAATTAATATTTACCCCTGAAAGAAAGAGTTTCTGCATTTATGAACCAGTTTTTTGTTTCAAAACTATTGTTGTCTGTCTAGGCTATTAATTTGAGTATGTTGTGTCAATCGGCCTAGCTATGGATCTTAAGTGCACCATTTACTTTAAATCGGACGAGAATATATATGGAAGCTATATCTACATCTGAACCGATTTTCACGAAACTTTGCACACATCATTCTAGACTTAAATCAGTACGCTGTGCCAATATTCGTGCAAATTGAACGATTTTCAGGGACTTTGGTGCACCATTTACCAAAAATCGGACAAAAATAAATATTGGAGCTATATCTAAATCTGAATCGATTTTCACAAAACTTAGCACACGTCATTCTAGACTTAATTTAGTACGCTATGCCAAAATTCCTGCAAATTTAATGATCTTCAGGGACTTGGGTCCAACATTTACCTAAAAGCGGGCGAAACTATATATGGGAGCCAGGGACGTACGCAGGGGGGCGGCCCGGACCCCCCCGAAATGAATTTTTTTCACAGTAAATTTATGTTTGCAACAGCGAGTTTTTTCATTTTGTACTCCCGACATAACATAATGTAATATGCGTATGTTATCCAAAATTGATTGTGGCGGCACATCCGCGGTTCTTAACCAAGTCTTTTAAAATATGTGTACTTTTGTGTATTTTCATTGGAGGTTACCAAAATCAGATGCGCATAAAAATTGTATGCGCATAAGTGCATCGAGTGGCACACTTTGACCGCTAAATGAGACATCGAAAAATTCATAATTATTGGAAGATATTGATTCGTTTTATATGAAAACAGCATGCGCAACAACTGATTTCAACGAAAACGCGAATTGCATGCTCTTTAATATTGATAATTTGTATGTATTGTAAGTGCAATATACTTAGTCATTTTTAAAGTAGGAACTCTTATCAGATGAATCTACCGATATTTAACATTTATCTAAAAGAAGTTGAAGAAGAAAGCGTCGCATTTTTTAGAAGATTAAGACAAACCCGTATTCCCTTAACCATACTAAAAGAATCGAAAATGCAAAAAACGTTTTGTTTTAATTAAAAAATTAATTTATTTTATTTTCAGATATCTTCGTGCTTCTATTTGTTTTTTTCGCGACTATTAAACCGTATTTCAATGTGATTTGACTAGTATGCAAAGAAAACAAATGTTTTTAACCATTTGTGAAGAATGAAAATAGGAAAGACAAGATTTAAAACCGCTATAACTTTTGTGCGCAGCATCCGAATTTGTGAACAGATCGAAATCTGTTCACCAGCGAGCATATTGTGCACATAAAAATATTATTCATTTTTTATGGAATTTTAAAAGAATTTTATAATTTCACATAGGTAGGTTAGTTATTGTTGGTAAATGTGTAATTTTATTTAAAGATCGCGCATAATAATCTAGAAAGCACTGTCCCCACCAATATATAACAGAGTTGGTCAGCATCATTTAATGAAAACCCTCAAAATCCAGCAAAAAATCCTGTCTTGCGTATCGATTTATGATAGACTGCACTGGGAGTATTTATTTGTCATGATGCATCTGTAAATAGAAACAAATCCTAAATCCCAAGAAGACAAGTAACGAAGATAACGATTACTTACCGAATTTTGAAAAAAAAACTGGTAACAAGTCATCATGGCCAGAATATGCAGAGTGAATTTAAAGTTAAAACAGTGTGAGGTTAGAAACTAATATTTTACATGTTAGGACTTAAAAACCCTACGGTTAGCTTAACAGAGCTTTTTAAGGCAGAACTAACAATACTGGCGAACTTTGGCTTTAATAATTTAAAGAATAACATATTTAAACGTTATATAAATGTGAAATAGGTTAGGACTTAACGATAACATCAATAAATTTTTATTTTTATATTTGGAATTAATTTTAATGTGCTGTGTTAATTTTTTGTGAGATCGAAATTAAGAATAATACGTATTATGTTGCCAATAAGTTTTAGTGGTGTACGGGGCCTTTTAAAAATTATTTTAAAATTTCGGAATGAAAAGTTCAAGGATGGGCGGGCAGAGTGGGGATCAATTTCCATCATGTGTGACATGGTTGTATGTTTTCGTTTTTGTGTTGTTTTTATCTCAATTGGAAACCTCCCCGGAATTAATAGTCTTTCGATTTTTTTTTTATAAATTTAGTTTTGACAACATTAAGATTTCCGAATTTAAATGAAAATATCCTCCTTCGAAATTAACGCACATATGTGTTCAGCGTCAAAAATTGCCAAATCATTTACATATGTAAATTGCGCACTTCCGTTTTTATG